TACTTGGACAGCCCGCACTGAGCCAATCAAATGTGGAGACACTGCAAGTGGTCTTTTTAATTGGTACAATCGGGTGGCAGTAAAAACATTTTAACCACAACCTGATGGATTTCACGATCTAGCTTTCAAGACCATCAGATTGATTTTTTAATAAAATACTATTGATTTGACGATGTAGAATTTATCAGGCTAATGACCATATTAGTGAAAAATGACCACCACAAACTCAGTTTTCAGAATCGAAACCTTGGAAATGCACCTTACTGCACCCATGCACTCGAAATGAGGTGTTTTTCTGGCCAAATCTTGCTTGAATTCGCAATGGGTCTCGTTTGGTGGCTAAAATTGCACAAAACGCGTGCCAATCGTCGGATTCCCGAAATAGGGTGCAAAGTATTCTTGAGCGAACATGGCTGAAAGTTCGCGAGCGGCTCGAGGCAGTGCTTATGCAGTGTTAAGTTAACATTGCCAGGACAACGACCAACAACGAGGTCAGAACCCAATTAACACAAACCAACAATTTAATATGTCAATGTTTTACTCTCGACCAATGAGAGCGATGCTCGTGAGTCATCGGACCATCGATCGCGTCTATGAGAAGATTGTCAAGGATTTATCACGGAGAATTTGTGTATTAAACAAGGTTTTTCTTGCATCCAAATAACTTTTAATGACCCATCTGTATTTTGAATTTCGCTGAATCCCTTACCACCAACTAATTCGTGGTGTGCATTACGTCATTTTGTTTTAACGAACCGATAGAATGACTTCAAGGTCAAATGGCAGTGCTTCATTTCTGTCAATAGTCTTCCCAACAGCAGCATCTTAGCCATGCGCACTTTTGCGTTTGTTTAAATGTTTTGCCAGAATTAAGGCATAGTCGTGAATTTGACCTGAGCAACATCTGCGTGCTTTATTTGTTTAACTGATATCAGACACTGGCATTTATCCTCTACCCGTTGCCATGACGACGGAAACCTGACGATGTTTTGCGTTTGCACGGATTCCCCGTCAACATGCCTTTTCGATGTTTTAAAAGTCGTACATTATCACGCCGAAATTGCAGACTTTTTGGAAATGACCACGTGGCAGAAGCGAATACTTTTGACATTTGGGAAACTAAGCATAATTAACCTCAAGTAAACTGGTTTAAATTACGAGGACAATTGAATTGACCTTGTAGGAGTCTGAGCCAAGCCCACCTTATTGGTCAAGTCTTGGGAAGCCTGTTTCGGGTACTGGGCACTTCATATTGCCACAACAGTGAACTTTTATTGAACAGGCATATGAAAAAAGTCGAATTTTCTTGACACATGCCGAATCTTCACCTCTTTAATGTGTCCAAAACCAATATTTCGAGTCGTAAAATTTTGCCTGACCTCCGAAATGCCAGTAAACTAATATACCGAGTTCAGATAACACGTTGGAACAGATTTATGACGTGGGTGGCAGATTGAACTGGCAAATTTGTTTCGGTCATTACGCTAACATGAATGTTCAAACGACGCAGATTGTGATTCGATTGGCTCTGGAAATGCAAGATCTGGGTTGTTAGTTGAGTTCATCGGTGGAAATTTTCCCAATTTACCGAAACTAAACACTTCCAAATACAGGCATTCGCGGTTGCGCTCTGAGACAATTCGATGCATCCGTGGTGAAATGAATGTTACTTAAATACTATTCAGTAGGACTTTTATACAACTCTAAAATCAGTGCTTTGCAAATGCTAACGCAAGGCATCGCGTCATCACCAGGTATGATTACCTTGAAGACTAATCTTTTTTATCTGTCTTTAGAAAGTGGTGTGCAATATGCCTCACCGTGGCTCTGCTTGAAATTTAAACTCCCTAAATTTTCGGATTACGGAATGTAATCGTCGGAAACAAGGTTACGTCCAGTTATTAAAGGACAAGTTAATTAACCATTTAGTTTTCTTACCTTGGTAATGAATTTCTCACCGAACTTAAATCATATCCTAATGTCAACAATTCCTTTCATATTTCTTTCTACTAATTTTGTATTAGTAGCAATGTTATACCAATCACTTTTGCTGTTGGCCAAAGTGATTTGTTCACTTATTTTCGGGCGATGTCGCTTAATTTATCTAAGTTAAGACATTTATTAAGCAAACAAACACTGTCGGATGCCCTACAAGTAATTATCCACAGAAACACCTGGAGCCAAGCCGTTGACTACCATTCGCCTACTTAAGTAGAACAATTCTATCCCCGTGAGGTCGAAAACAGGTTCTACATACCCATCAATTTCAGTCAGCCAATCATTCAAAATCCACGCGTGTCAGAACCACTATTTTGTGCGTGCAGATTACACTGGCCCTCTACCCCTTCTGGTGAAGCATCAGCCAATAGGATGGGGGAACAATGCCTGTGGTGCTGATCCTCCAATCAGCGATTCAGCTCCCCACCACCGATTGGATGGCTGCCATGGCAACAATCCCCACGGCCAGGGGCACGACGACGACGACTTCCGAGTGGACATTGAAGTTTTCAGCTGCCGACCAATGAGGATCGGCGTGCAGCCCTATCGATCACCGGCACAACCCACGCACTATCGCCATGGCAACGAGGCGGGGGGAGGACTGCGCGTGCGCAGAGTGCGCCTGTCTGTCCTCGCGCTAAACCCGATCTATCGAAGGAGGCGAAGGAGGCTAAACGGCACAGGCATCACCGCAACCTCGCTCGGACGTCGCCGACACCACTGGAAGAAACACTTTCTCAACAGAGTTGTACGTTTCCATGGTTATTCTCCTAATTGCCATTGCTGTTTTGTCATTGATTTCCTCACTAATGCTAACCCGTCACTCCCCAGCTACCAAATCTTGGTGCTAAGTAATTATTAAAGTGCATTTAAGGATTATGGAGGCTTTCTACGATCCTAAATATTGCCCTTGTCTAGCGATCGATTTCTATTTTTCGATCCGAACCACACGCACCCACACACACCTAAACGCGATCCACCCTGAAAGCTCGATCTTTTGTTCTTGCTTTGCAGATATTTGAAATGGAATCTTTCAAAATCAGCGACGATCAAGTACGAGGTAAGGCTGATTCTTCTTTTCTAGTTAGTCCTTCTACTTACACAGACTTACGCAGTTTATTTCGACGCTAAAATTTGGCTAATGTCGCAAATGCTAAGATGGTAGAGGTCCTTGGAGTTTTAGCTGCTAACCCTCGTCATCGGTGGCGCAAGTGTCTCTAGAAAACGCCAATTTTTAATTTTCTTTTCCAACACGTCAGTGAACTTGCTGCAATTAAGCGGATACACGTAATCGCATGCATTGCACAAATCAATACACGCTAGCGTGCAGTGGGCGTGTGGTCGTGACCGTATGTTCCCCTCAAGGCTTCCGATTGGCTGTGAGATGCACTTTGATTTAGCGCCATGCATAAACAGGTTTACGCGCGCAGGCCAGAAAACAAGATCAGACCCACCTCCTCTAATGACCACAGTCTTACTCGAAAATATCTGGGTTTTTGAAATTATTTTTGGCATTTCCCTTAATTGGTATATTTTGGATAAACTTTTTTTTATATCAAATTATTACTCAGATGCTCGTGGTTCATTTGTCGATCATGAAATGTGCATGACACACTGCCTGTTAACATGCACTACTTAATAAATGCATAAGTAGTTCTGCTTGAACAATTTCTCCAGTGGCAACGGAGACCTTCAAGAAGTTTGACAAGCGTGGCCAGGACAAGATCAGCACAAACGACCTAGGCCCGGCCTTTCGGGCTCTCAAGGTCCCCATCACGCCTGACCTCATCAAGGAGTGGGCAGATGAAGTGGACGACGACGGTAAGTACATTGCAGATTCATTCATCTCCTCGAAAGTTAACAACGACGCCTTGGTAAATTGTCGTCTTATCGATGCAAACTTAGATCGACTAATTATTAGTCAAATCAGCCCTCTTAAAATCGAAAAATTCCATTTTTTACTATAAAAATGCCCACACACACCATTGCCCCCATCCTATTGGCTAGCACATAATCGCTGTTGAGACCTATCAGGACGTATGTAAGTACTCAGTCTCTGGCCAAAATTAGAGGTTCTGTAGCTGTCGGAGCTTGATTCAGAAGTATTGATTTTTTTTCGAGGTTTGAGGTTTTGGTTACTTCTAGACATCACAGTTCCCAGAGCCGAAAAGGATGCGTTACTTGTCTTACTTTTATTCATCTCGTGGCCGATACATTGTCATATCTTGAATCAACGCAAAAGTCACTTATTGAAGCCTAACCCAGTTGTGTGCTTTTGGGTCGTGCATGTTCAGGACAATATGGGCCAATAGGAAAACTGCGACAGTGAGCTGGGGCAATCACGACGTTTTGCTGGAGAGAACTACTTCGTTACTTGGTTTCCTAATAAGTGGATGCATTGTTTGGTCTCTTTAAGCTACTGGTTTCATCGATCTGAAGGGGTTTCTCTCGGTGTACTGTAAGATCCTCCAGAATGAACAGGATGAGCAGGACCTGCGACAGGCTTTCCGTGCGCTAGACAAGAACGGCAAGGGTGAAATCGACGTTGAAGATCTGCGATGGATCCTCAAGGAACTTGGCGACGATCTTACCGAGGAAGAAATCGATGAAATGATTCGCGACACCGATCGTGACGGATCTGGTTTCGTCGATTTCAGCGGTGAGGTTTCCAAAGTTTGACAGTTACGCTTTTTCCAAGTTATCGACTATGGTCTCTGCTTAGGTCACCCACTTATCATATTTCACCAAGGATCAACCTAAAATCGACGTGATTTTCCTTCTTTTTAGAATTCAAGAAGCTAATGACTTCGGAATAGGCGTCTTAGTCTATACATTTGCCTACCCTCACCCCCTCTCCACTAAGAGACGTCTGGTTTAATCCCCTGGAAGTGTATGCGCGTGTATGTGCTCGCTAGTATATAAACAACACCTTCTCTTCTCCTTCTACTTTTATATAAAGTCAATAACACACAGGAGGAATGACTTCAGATTCGATTTTTTCGAGATAATCTCCTACCACACCGAAACCACCCTCACTGTCCCTATTCGCTTCCTCATATTCTGCACCAAGTCCACGTGTGAAATAAATACAAAAGTTGCAAGTAGAGCTAGCAAAAAAAGACATTTCTTTGTGTCTAGGTCAATGGGGTCAATGGCTGAATCTTATTTTGTTGGTCATCAAATATACACCGGTATCTGAATTGCAACAAAGTTAAATAAACGCCTGATCCTATCACTTTGTAAATGTTCGCTTTACGCGAAGTATGTTGGCTCTGACTTCCAGCCCGGGTAACCAATCATTTCACTCCAATAGCTGCACTAACCAGTTGAATTTCAGTAATTGATTTTCATGTAGCGAAAGGCTTCAGTTATCTCAAACCGTACATCTCCTGGAATCTGATTCAAGCCGGGTTTCGAATCTTGCCTAGGTATTTAGCATTTTCAGTATACGATTCGCTGGCAATCGATGATCTTGCACAAGGTGTTCTATCGAAGTTAGAGATGTAACTTTACCGCACCTGGGACATAGCGTCGTTTGGAACACCTTAAAATCAGGCTAGCTAACAGTCCATAACAAACCGAGAAAAAAATGGCGACGAAGTGGGTCTCACTGTGTGCAGACATGAGCCAGTGTGCATAAATTAATAATTTATTGACGGAGCGGCACCCATAAACGCGCGCGAACAGGAATAAAAGTCGATAGAACACATAAACCAACCAGACTAGGTTAATCACGAGATGTTGATGACGAGGTAAATTCTTGAGTTTAGTGATCTTGAGGCGGCACATATGGGCCTCCACAATGTAACAAATGTTTGCTAAGAAAATGTTCGTTAAAGAGCTGAATTCAAGCCTAGAGATTAAGGTTAACGACAAATGCCGGCAAATGCCAGTAAATTAAATTAAATTTGATGTTGAAATGGTGCAAATTAAGAACACTTTAATGCAAAATTAAAAAATTTAAAAATTAATACGTCCAAATTCATCATCGTGATTCATATTTCGTTATATTTGTTAAAATAGCAGCCATTATAACGGAGCTAATTTTCACACTCTGCTCATGTCTATTGAAACACGTTGGTAATTTGATAAAAACAATTCAGGGCTACCAAGTTTTAAAATGAGGATCGAGTGATCAGTAAGCAGTATAATTTCTGTGTCTTGCAACCCATTAATTCCAGGCATATTAAGACGGTTAATTCATATTAAGGAAACAAGTTCCATTCCTCTAATTGCTTAATTCTACATGCCAAAAAAAGGGATTCAGGCCGTCTAAGGTAAGATGTTACAGTATATAGGGCAAGTAGTCAGCAAAAGTGTATTGCCATCATTATGTGAACACAAAGGTTAACAACTAAAAGGCATTGATAAACAAAATATTTCGCACAAATTCGTGTTGACGGTACATACTCAATTTGATAACTTACCTAATTTGCAAACGTGCAAATTTATTCGAACCTAAAAAATTAGCACTACGAAAATTTTTTAAGACAGGATTGCCAGAAATTTATTCAATATTGAAATTAAATAAATTAAATGGATATAAAGTGAAAAGAGGCAGTCAAATATGTGTGCTATTTTGTATTTTAATCATAAACTGCTAATTGGCTGGGTATAAATAAAATCTTATACAAAGAGCAATTCCTTGAATATTTCCAACCGTGTCTTATATTTTTCAAAACTGAATCAAATGATAAAAATGCTTACTTTCAAGAGCAATATAATTTAAATAATGGGCCTGCGATACCTCTTTAAAAACGAGAGTAAGTGTGTAGTCCATATGTTAAATAATAGTTTATTTGTTTTTAATCTAATAATGCGCACAAAACGTTAGTGACCATAAATTGAAAAAAAAATTCTTTTCTTTATTAACATTTCTTTGAATGAATTGGAAGAGGATACCACCGCCCCATTCGAGCAACGTTTTCTTGTTTGTAATTTGTCGTACGTTCTACTATCGAGATGTCAGAAAATTCCATTCGCGGCAGTCGGGATCAAGCTTCTAGGTTAGTAATAAAATTTTTACTGCTAAGATTTGGGAATCGTCTTTTTGGATTTTTTAGCCTTTAATGTTCAAGAACTCGCCGAACACTTATGTTAACATCTTTTTTAGAGTGCTTAAGTCAAACGCATATACAGGAAGACGCAGTGGAACCCCAGACTCTCCCAACTCAGGTCAAGGTGCCGCTAGTCCTGTACCGAATGCCGGCCCTGGGAGTCCTACTTCAACCACCAGTTCAGTGACCAACCACCACCCGGTGTCCCATGTTCAGCATCACCCAAACCATCGACCATATACACAGCGTGGGAGACATCGAGGAGATGGTGGCTACTTCGGAGGTCACAATCATCTTGGTGGTCATCATTCTGGGTCGTACCGTAGACCATCGCCTCCCATCCCCGGTCCACCCTTTTCAAAAGCCCTCGTTGACTTTATGATAAAGCGTAGGTTTTTTATAGATATTTCCGCTACCATGCTTTTTGGTTTTACAATATTTCGCTTCGTGAATTCTAGAGTGGAATGATTTTGAGGTAAACTACAAGAAGTCTCGCGGTGAACCGGTCGATAATGGTCTAATGCCACCGCCTGCCGCTCCGACTTCCCCGCGAGTTCCAACTTCCCACATGAATTCTCCTCATCGAGGACAACACACGCGTTACCCTTATCACCAAAATTCCACGGGAAACAGCTGGTCCGTGAATAGTGGAGGGGGACGGCGATTTTCCGATAATGGCGACCACTCTAACACCGGGTCTCTGAGGCGTCATCATGCAAGAGGTGGACATGCCGCCTCGCCCCTACCACAAAGCAAGTCATTTGTCCATTAATCTTTGCTGTCTTGGCCCTGTTTCGATGTGTCTAAAACATTGATGATGGAAACCGTTTACGTATAAATTACTCCGTTTAATAGGCGTTAGGCGATGTTCAAAGATGTTAGGATGTCTAATGACGTTGGACGTTAGGCAGTTTTTTTTTGTATTCCGACGTTCATTTTCAAACCGGTAAACTTGCCAATGCTAAATGACAATTTGCCGACACTTAATAAAGATGTAATTCCTTTTGATATTCAGTTATTATTACGGTTTTTTTTCTTCAGATAACTCATCGTGGCAAAGGAGTAGTATACTTGGCAACCGACAGAATTCTCCCAACAATACCCTCAATCGCCCAGCAGGTAATTTTTCCTCCAAATCTTGACTTTTACCATTAAAACCTCTACCACCCGATGTGGTTTTTATTGTAGCCCAGTTGCCTTCAAAATGTCGCAAAAATTTCTGTTTGTCACTTTTAGTTTTAAGTGGTCATTATACAACTTCCGGAAAGTCTCTTCTTTTTCTTCATGCTAACTTCGATTATCTATCCAAAGGAGTTTTTTGTCATTTCTCAAGACACTAAAACCATGCCGTTTTGAAGTGCCTGTGTGCGTATACAGCAGTGTCGAAATGCGACCGTGATTTATGAGACTGGCAGCGATTCCATGCTGAGTTGTTGGCACGATGCCAGCTTGTTCAGTTGTTAGTGTTTCTAAAGTAAGTCTTCATTAAGTAAACGCAGATAGGCCGCATTTCTTGGGGCTGTTTTAATCCCCAGTCGTGCAGAATTCACGTGCCTGCTTCGAAGCGAGTCTGCATATTAAGTTCACGATGCGCTATAGAGGTTCTACCCAATGCCTTAGCCGTTGGAATTGCTTTCGTAGCTAATATCGTTTTGGCCCATTTTGCGGCCACGAGTACAGCACTCATCGTGCTGTTAAATCTGGAGATCAGGTTGCTTTCATGGCCTCTTGGAGCTCAGACAAGCAGTATTTTAGCTGGTGGGTCTAATTTCTTTTTCATGTCGACTTTTACTCGGTAATTGTGCAAAAAATTGGTTAGATATGCTGAAACACTTCAAAATATTCGTGTCGTGGTGTTTGGGAGCTGACTTGTTTCCATAACATACAACTTTGATTTCCTTTTGATGTGTGGTTAGGTTGAATGAGCTTCAAACCCCCTAGCATTGGTGTTTCTAATTGACCTGTCCCTGTCTACATCTACGTTTCGGTCCACATTAAGACTTGCCCAAAACTCACAACAAGTGAATGCCTCATAGTTGCGGGTGCTAGATTAACACCTTCACCTCACTAATTGTGGGCATTAAGACAAAAAGTCAACCCACTGCCGTTGCCACATTTAGGTCCACGGCATCTGCAGCACCCACATCGTCCCGTGGCCTCCCCCACTCCCCCTCCTGTCGCCGAAGCGACGTCGAAGAAGGCGGGCAATGCGGGAGGTTCTCCGGTCGTGGAAGCTGCGGCAGCTCAACTTGAGACGCTCACGATCAAGAGCTCTGAGGCACAGCAGCAAGAGGTTGCGAGCACTTCTTCCGAGACTGCTGCTGCTGCTTCTGCCGCACGCAAGAAAAACACTGGTATGCCAACATGCGCCCTAGTTTGCGTTGTCTTTTTCGTTGTTTTTAGTTCACCTGACTCACTAGTTGCCTGATCTAAACGGCCTCAATGTTGACTGTGCTCACCCTAAAAAGCGACCTTTTGTTTGTTCAGTAGTTAATCCAAAGTGCTAGTCCCAGTCCCGCTTTGAATGTGTTAGGGGACCTCATTTTGGGTATCCCCAGATGGTCAAGACTACTATGGTACACTGTTCCGTTGAATATCAGGTTACAATGGTCCCTTCGGGGCTGCCGCCTCAACAATTCCTGTCCCATTCTTGCATCTTTCTCCCGGCGTCAGTCATCCTGCTGCCGACAGCTTGGCTAATCGACTTGGACCCACTGTGTGAATCGTCTCTATAAGTAACCATGGTCGATGCTTGTTTGGTGGATCATATTCTTCATCCACTTTTTGCAAGAGGCTGCCCCACTGACCAGTAACCAGTCTGTTCTGTCGAGCCGCAGATTTTACACATCGGTCAAGTCGTTCTGAATACGCCCCTACGGTGTTCGCTCAGCAAGTGACCCTACCTCACACACTGTCATCTCTTCATCTGAAATGCACTGTCTTCAGACTGATAGCCATGGGTCTACAGCTCCATAGTTGTCGTTGTCGACAGCTAGAATTAACTACTGGATTGCCTTCAGCCTACAACGTCGGACGAGAGAGCCTGCTTTTTTGGAGAGATTTCCCGACGACGGTGAACTGCTGTCTCCCTCCAAGCTATTTAGTCACCAAGGCGTTGGCGAAGGGGAATTTCGTGGTGTGCCTCAAGCCCCCTTCGACTACCTTTGCAAGCGGTGGTGCATTGACGCAGATCACTCAAAACACCTCCAAACAAACCTGCTCCTCCGATTTTAGATGAGACCGGCGACGAATAGCCGTAGCAGGGGGAGTTCTTGGTCACGCATTTCTAAGCTACTGTGTATTGACCGTTGGAGGTATTAAGTAATAAAAAGTGATCTGCAATTCGTAAAAGGAGGTCGGGAGAGGTGCGTGGCGCTTTGGCCACACTGAGACACGTTTGTCGACTCCATGACGAAACGAATTCATGACTTAACTGATTTGGAGAACATCGAGCACTGCGTTGAAACTACCTACTTTTGGTTGTGCTAGAAGGTGGTGCCAACGGCGAAGTGAGGACCGCGGAAGACGAAAAATGCGCTGTTTCCAGCACCTCCCCAAACGATGAGGCCTCGCGCACCTCACCTAGGGTGAAGCACCAGCAGCAGCACCAAACCCCTTCACACCATCAACACCAGCGCTACATTCACCCACCCAGACGCAGAGCCGCCACGACCCAGAGCAGTGGCAGTGGCTTGCAAGTTGGCACTGCCGCCTTCTCCCTTCCAGCCTCCGTGGCCGGAGGATCGGCCCCACGAGCCTTGGAAACGGCCTCTGTTGCCTCGTCCAGTTTTTGCAGCCTCATTGACCAAGGTTCGTTCGTGGTGCACGCTCGCTCGTGCTTGTTGTGCATGGCCAATTGCATGCCATTCCACGCCCTCCAATCGGAACCGGTTTGCATGCGCTCCCACGGCCTTCTCACTCCCTCTGTCCAATGTTCTCCACCCCCTGCCCCTTATTGATTTCTGTCAGAGTGCCCGCTTCTCTCTGCCTGCTTGTGTGTGTGTGTGTGTCGATTTTGCCTGCTCGCCCCCACATCCTCGGTTTATTTGTATCATACGAACCTCAATTGTTACCCATCCAATTTGTTGACTGCCATTCCCAAACGCTTCTTATCTCCTAGTAGTCAATTTCACTGCTTTATCGGTGGTGGTGGCGGTGGGAGAATTTACCCCAGCTGAAAACCCCGCCGTCGCCCCTAGGACAAACGTATTGCGTCGTGTAGGATCATGCCGCGTCTTCTTGAGTTTCCTTGTTAGTTTCCTGTGAGCAGTCGGTTTTATTGCGTGCCTGGTGCATTTGTTTTCTAGTCGACGCCATGTCATCAGCGGATCAATACTTCACGCCAGAACCTCCATCCTCTCCCTCAAGCCCTTCTGTGTCTCTTTCAGTGGGCGTCGAAGGCGCAGCGCCCTCGAACACCGCGCACTTCTTCCAGGCCCCCTACGCATCTGGTGATAACTCAGAGGCCGCGGCGACGGCGGCGTCTCCCACCTCCGCGCAAGCCGGCGCCGCCTCCATCGCGACGGATCGATAATCGCCGGCCCTCGCACACTCCACCCCGATTATTGTGTATGCATTTTACTAGACGACGCGCACCCCGTGTTTACTAGGCACCGTCATTTTACATGTGTGTGTGTGTGTGTATACTCCGCTCGCCACCCACTCCCAGCATCTTAATACCGCAGGCTCGCGTCCGTACTTCTCTCTTCTTTTCTCCCTACACCCTTTCTTAGTGTCACGCGTGACGAAACTGTACAAGAGAACGATGAAATCTATTTCTCCCGCATGGTCTTGTTTTTCCATAGCAGGGGTCTGTGCTGTTACCCTTGGTTTTGGGAGGGAGGTCATCTTGTAAGGTGTCGATCGCCATACGAGTTGCTTAGCGCGGATCTGGTGTCCTAGTTTGATTCATCTTGCAACGGCAGCTGTTGTTTTAAGGCGTTGGGCATAGTCGCACCGTTAGTTTAAATACGACTCGAATGAAGTGGCATATCGTGAGCCGAACGAGCTTGTCCCCTCCCGATCTCGCGACAAGGGATCGCTCAGACTGAGTTCCCCCGCTTGCGCCCTCCTCGCTTCTCGTTGCGCATTCGACGATTATGCTAACTTCCCACGCCAAGGCGAATACTGTCCATCCCCGGTCGATGGTTCAGTCATCATTTCATTGAAGACCCAGTAGCCATGATTGTTATTCGCAGCCTACGGAACAAGTCACTTATCACCGAGGGTTCTGCTGTCTCATCGCAACGACGATTCATCTCATTCACTCGCTTTTGAGAGTTGGTCTGTTGTCGAGGTCCATCAAAGGGCTTTGTTTATACGCGGAAAACGATCAGTGCTGCATTTGGTTGATCACTCAAAATCGAGGCCACGGGGTGTTCTCGTGCATGCCTATTATCCGTGATTGGCCATGTTTACGTAATTGTGTGTGTTTTCAATATGAATGAACGTGATCGGGCTCTGAACGTAGCGACGCGCAGTTCTGTTGAGTTAATCAGCAGTCCTTGGGTTGAACTTTTGCAATAGTGCACTGGTGCCCTAGAAACACTACTCCAGTCTGTGGTTATCCCTCTTGACCCACCTCATCTGAGGTCAAGACCGCTCAAGCTAGCTGAGGCGGTTACAAGTGCTCTGGCCTATGTCATTGCACAGAGAATCTGGGGGCTTTCAGTACACGGGGGATTTGCTTACTGATTATCAGGTTAGCCCTCCTTCGCAACCTCGACACGGCCAGCGTTCTGGTTGATGGAATTCTTACCGTGGACGTTTCTAACAGATGTGCGATTCTTCTTAGCCAGGACGCAGTCAAATGTGTTTATTTAGTAACCTGGGGACAATCGTGTCTACCACACCTGACCCGGGCTGAACCGAATCGTGAAGCTGATGATGATGTCATGTGTTTACTTGATTTCATTCCGTTGATATTTCTAAATGCCATGGATGATGCGTTGGTGGACAACATAGATGGCGAAATGCTGTAGTAACGACGGCAATTTAATCCTTGAATGAGCTGTTATTGGGACAGTTGTTTAAATTCACTTGTGGCTCCTTATTCAAACAGCGCGCTCAATCGAGCACACGAATTCAGAGGGGAGCGCAGCACGCCGCAATGAGTAATCAGTGTTATTGATGTTTCCGGATGCGTGCCACACGTCACTACGGTTTGCATTGTTTTCGACCCCGTGAAATGAATGTGTGAGAGCAGTTTTGCTTCGATCACTCGTCGGGCTTGAAAAAACAACGTCGCCAGGACGCCGCATCCAAGCAACCACAATCCATCATCAATGCGAGCCAAACGTGATTGGTGGTAATAATTTGCAAAGTGTTCTAGGCATCGTCTGCGTGTCTAGTTGCGCAGGTACTTCCACGTAGTCGAAAGTATCTTGTGGTAATTTTGACTCTCATGTAATGAAGAGATCTGTTCAAGTTCAGGTGGGTTAGCTGATAGGTGTGGACCTCTCTTTTAGGAAATCGCGGTCATGTTGCCAGTCATGGAATGCGGAGACTTTGTTCTTGAGGTTCACTTTGTAGTGAATCGTGTTGCCTCATGTTAAACACCCGGTCGTCGCAGCCTCGCACCACCACCACTAGCACCACAACACTATATCTGTGTGACCATTCAGACGTCTGTATTTCTACCAGAACACTCAACTGTATCAGTTATCCAAACAACTTTGTTGAGCTGTCTAGTAAACGGTTGTGCCTTCCTCACTCGGGTCTTCTTTATCTTCTCGGGAATACAGGGTAACGCATTCGGCCTAGATTGTCGCAGTGGCCGCGACGTGGTTCAAGACAAAATAACGGGGCCCTAAACAAATAAAACCAATTTAATTTTGATTCCGACGCCGATAATTTGTAACAAAAGCAAGTGAATATTTAGTCATTGCATTTGCCAAATAAGGATCACACTTAGAGTCCCATAGAAGGCCACGACTGTTTGAAGTCGACATCACCTCATCTGACTGCTAGTGTCCACGCCATTTGCTGTAGCGGCTCTCCCGTTGTCAGCGTGTGAAATTTACCCTGAAAGTTCGCAGCAGCTTATACCATGTATTGCTCGGTTTCACAAGTTGTTCATTGTCAAAGGTGGCTAATCCGGAGGTGATGAATTAGCGACAGCGCCTACGAGGTGCAGATGTCTGTCAGGTGACAATTCGTGCCCAAATGTCTCTGTAGGTGTGAGATCGCAGTTTTGCGCTGCAGCCTTCCCCCTGCTTCCTCATTGGCTCACGCATGAGTTGCGATAGCTAACCAGGTATAAATTGAAGCAAAATTCCATGATTTCATGTAGATTAA